TGGGCATGTACGGGCATGTGAGGGCATGTATGGGCATGTACAGGTGTGTGAGGGCATGTATGGGCATGTGAGGGCATGTATGGGCATGTACAGGCGTGTGAGGGCATGTACAGGCCTATAAATGTGTTGGAACGTGCCTAAGGGTACAGTATGGGAATATAAGCATGTGTACGGCTGTGTAAGCACAGGCCTAGCTGAATTCAGCTGCACTCACCCGATCCCTGGACCGCTGTATCTTCTCCCTGTCTGAGTGAAGGTTGGCCAGGATTTCTTGACCGACTTGCTCTGTGAAACATGAAGATAGACTCCCGTTTAGTGGCATGTTCACCCTGTTCTGAGAAGAATCCCCACTGAAATGACCTGTCGACAAAGAACTGTTCTCATTTCAGTAATTCACTAGTACGTGTGCACACATGCTCACACACATGTGAAATGCCCCCACGGCCCTTTGGCAAGGGCATGAAAGATGCTGGGTCCCTGGCTCCAGGAGCAAACACCAGTGCCAGCGAGAAGCGTACCCTTTGAAGCCACACACCCAGGACCCCACAAGGCAGACTGGGCCGGGGGCGGGTCTTAAGGGAATTAGACTTTCCACTCTTTCCACTCAGTGGCCATCACTTCACCTCACAAACAGCAAAGATATGGGCAACCCAGACAGACATGCCAGCGGAAGGTGGAGCCCTCTGTGCTGCTCTCCGGGTGAAGATAGTGGCGCGTGTGCCCCACATGTGCCCGCTGTGTGGCTGCCATCTGCCAAAATTTGTGAGAGGCATCTGTCAGCAATGCAAGTGTTCAGCTGGTCACACTGGACAAGTGAACATGTGTAGGAAACAAATAATTAAGTAGAGAATGAGAGTGGGCTGGAGTGCTTTATGTGTATAAATGAGCTCCCCTAAACAGGAAGCGCCTTTCAAGGAGACTAGAACAGCATAAATAAAGGAAAAGGAGCACAGGATATTTACACAGATCAAAGCAGCGAGGTGATGGGAGACAATGCACACCACCCAAAACACAAGAGGAGGTACAGGAGGAGGAGGATTAGGGGGGGAGGGGGGCAGGAAGAAAAGGCCTGTACCTACTGCTATCATTAACTTTCACTCAGGGGAAAGACAGATTGAAGGATACCCAGATTAAATAAAGCAGTCAGACAGATATATAACAGATAGGACAGATTAAAAGAATGAGCAGTGAGATTAATAACAATAATCACAGATGTACGCGCAGGCTGGTGGGGGGGGGAGGGGGACACAGACCACGTCCATCCATCTCAGTCCAGCGTGTGGGATGCTGGGGCTTCACTGGAACTAGGTAGCAGGACTGTACAAGTCACAGGGACCGTCCTACCCTGACAGAGGGGGGGCAAGGGGCAAGGAGAGGAGAGCCAGGATCAAAG